AATCAACTATACTCTAACAAAAAACAAAAAGTTAAAGAAAAGAGAGGTATAGTGCTGCAGTGACTTGATGAATAGTGGAGTCAGGATTTGAATCCAGCTCCCAGACCTGGACCCTGAGCTATTTTGGACACCTTGATCTTTGCCCTCCCATGACAAGGAGAATGAAGGAGAAGAGCTGGGCGGGCAGAAGAGAGAGCTTCTCTCAGCAGGGAGGCGAGTCCTCCTGGTACCTGGCCAGCACCTAGGTGATCCTTGCATGTGAGACAACATTTCTTCTTAGCTTGAACCAGCATTTCATTTGTCGTATTTCCCAGAGTAACTTAAATGCCAACCAATGGGATTTCTGGCAACACCACCACTCTGGTATGTCTTGGTTAATTAATTTTATACGTTTCTTTACAAAGCCTTCCTTATGAAAAGCTCTAAGTTCTCTAACCCCATTTCTTTCAAATGGCATTTAAGCATTTACCTTGAGGATTCATAGATATGATTTAAGGGATCTGTTAAATCTCCTGAAAAAAAAAATGAAATTCAGATCTCAGTCCATACCATTCTTTAAGTTATCAAAGATGTCCACGATTGAAAAAGGCTAAAATCTGCCATAAAGGGAAAACAGAAAGATGCACTTTTTAGAAAAAAAAGATCGCTGTACCCAGGAAAACTGGTATGATGGCCAGGCAGTATAATAAACACCAACTTAATAGAGATAGACAATGGATATGAAAGAGAATACAATGCTCAAAAAGCCAAGGAGAAACAAGGCTGAAGATACATTTCCCTTATTGTCTCTTCCTTCATTCGTTTTTTAAAATCCAATGACAGCAGCTACTAACTCATGCATGCTAAGAGAATCAAATGGAATCATGATTTTATCTCCCATTTCAATACTTGAGGAACATATATCTTACTACAGTCTTATTCAATTGAAATGATGGAACTGAGAAACATCTTATACCAAACAGCAAGAAATATTCACAGGAACCTGATTTACCAGTTATAACTTTAGACTAAATTGGTATTAAAAATTTCATGTGAGAATACAAATCACAAATTTTAAAAATGCCTGTTGAATTCTTTGACATAAATCACAGCTATATCCTCTTTGACCAACCTCCTAGAGCAATGGAAATAAACAGAAATAAACAAGTGGGACTTAATTAAACTTAAAAGTTTTTGCATAGCATAAGAAACTATAAACAAGATGAAAAATCAACCCTCAGAATGAGAGAAAACAATTGCAAGTGAAACAACTGACAAAGGATTAATCTCCAAAATATACAAGCAGCTCATGCAGCTCAATACCAGAAAAACAAACAATGCAATCAAAAAGTAGGCAGAAGACCTAAACAGACATTTCTCCAAAGAAGGCATATGGGATGGCCAGAAAACACATGAAAAGATGCTCAACATTGCTCATTATTAGAGAAATGCAAATCAAAACTACAAGGAGATATCACCTCACACTAGTCAGAATGGCCATCATCAAAAAATCTACAAACATAAACGTTAGAGAGGGTGTCGAGAAAAAGGAACCCTCTTGCACTGTTGGTGGGAATGTAAACTGATATAGCCACTACGGAGAACAGTATGGAGACAGATTCCTTAAAAAACTAGGAATAAAACTATATGACCCAGCAATCCCACAACTGTTCTTAAACCCTGAGAAAGCCATAACTGAAAAACACATGTACCCCAATGTTCATTGCAGCAATATTTACAATAGCTAGGACATGGGAGAAACAGAGATGAATGAATAAAGAAGATGGAAGTTTGGTACATATATACTATGGAATATTACTTAGCCATAAAAAGGAATGCACTTGAGTCAGTTCTAGTGAGGTGGATGAACCTAGAGCCTGTTATACAAAGTGAAGTTAAGAGAGAAACAAGCAACATATTGACACATACATATGGAAGCTAGAAAAATGGTACTGATGAACCTATCTACAGGGCAGGAATAGAGATGCAGACATAGAGAACAGACTTTGGACACTGCAGGGGAAGGAGAGGGTGGGAAAAACTAAGAGTAGCACTGGAACATTTACATCATCATATGTAAAACAGATAGCTAATGGGAAGTTGCTGGGTAAAACAGGGAGCTCAACGAGGTACTCTGTGGCAAGTTCTGAAGGGGGGTGGGGGGAGGTTTGAGAGGGAGAGGATATATGTATATTTATGGCTGATTCACATTGTTGTATGGCGGAAGCCAACACAATATTGTAAAGCAATTGTCCTCCAATTAAAAATAAATTTTCTAAAAAAGTTAAAAAAAAAGCCTGTTGCGTGGACAAATTGAGCCACTGGGTTGCTGGCCTGAAGAATTTGACTGTTAAATAATACAGTTCACCTGGTTTTTTTGTAGTGTACATTTTTCAGGGGCTCTGATGATCAGTATTGGCCTCCAAGAAGAGCAATATGTTATAACCATGACTTGGTGGCAAGTATTCTAGGTAAGAATATTTTGGTATATTTTAAAAGAAGCTCTCACTGGTGTTGACTGACTTAAAGATATTTAAAAATATGACACCTTATAAACCTCTTCCACATCTAGAGGCAGAATATAATGATTTGTATATTTTATTTTGACTTTACATGCGGTGTTAAAAACCCAAAGTACATATTATTTACACATCCACAATACAAGTTTACAAGATAGCTATACATGTTAAAGTACTCTATAAAACAGTATAGAGCCACTTCACTTTAGGGTTACTTTTTATGCCGTACCATTAAAAAAGATACAATCTGTGTTTACCTTTGCACAAATGAATAAAGCATTTAAAAATTAAATTAACAGGATAGAGACTAGATTTTATGTTAGAAATCTCAACATAAATACTGATAGAACTCACATTACAAACTACAAGGCAGCACAATGTTACAAAATGTTATCCGGGTTCACATACAGTTACTGTTCCATTTTCTGCACGCCGGGATTAATATTGGCAGGGTGAATTCAAACAGGTTTGTCGGCGGAGAACTGAGTAGTGTTTATCGTTGGTTGGTTTAATTTATTATCAATCTGTAATATTTTAGTTTCAAAGCTGACGTGTTGCAAAAACAGAAGTTTTAGCTTTTGAGCTTCCAGAGACCTCAGGGAATCATGTTCTTTATAAAACAATATTCTCAAAGAAAAAGAATAACTGCATCCGTATTCTACATTCTGTATAAAAATGCTCTGGTCTTTTGCAACCCATCCTCCCCCAAGTAATAGATATTATCACAGGAAATCAGTTGAACTTATTTGTCTGACTAAGTCAGGAGCATTCCTCTGCCTTGATACTTTCTAGATGAGGTTCAATAAACCGTGGTGTGCAGCATATTAACTGAAACAGTCGTCAGGGTTGCACATCATCAACTGTAAGTGGCTTCTGCAAAACTACGAATAAATGACTCTATATGGTTTCTGCAGGTGTCACATTACCCGGGAAACCTCATTTGACTTCACATTATCACTGATTCATCCTTAGTGAAAGCAGGAGTGGAATGTTTATCATGGCAAAGGATGTAATGCGGCTATCTGGATGGATTGTTTTACAGTTAATTGTTCTAGGTTGTTGTTACGATTTTTTTGAAAAGTCTTTTCAGGTGCTGGTTGAAAAACATGTACAACTGGCACTCAGTAAATGATGTGCTATACTGAAAACACTTGACATATTTGAGTACTTCTATCATTTTCATGAATAAGGCACAAAATGCACAGATTCAGGTAAACTCACATGTAATATTTACAGTATACTGTCGTTACCTGCATGACTTAGGAGAAAATTCTCACATCACACAACATAGACAACATGATTGCACCACTGTTAGGTTTTCATAGACTGTTTCTGTTAAGCCAATTATGACCCTCTCACATTCCCTTCTTTTGTTTTCTGTTTTGTGTGTGTGTGGTTCTTTCCCCCCCCTCCCCGCCCCATCTTGGGGTTAGAGGGGAGTTAAAACAAGAGGAATTTTACCACAGGGGAGAAACCAAACACAATAAAAATAAAACCTTGTTAGTGTGTCCAAGGTTAATAAAGTCACTGGGGCTTGGATTCACAGTGGACTGGTGAATTTTACTACTGAAACTGGTGGATAAATCAAGGATACCGCTTAACATCTCTATCTCCTTAAGCTGGCAAGACTGTAATAGAAGTTTCAGTGAATAGCAGCACAAAATTACTTAGTACTCTTACATTCTGGCATTGGGTAACATGGAAGTCGAGTTAATCATTTTGACTGTCAAAATCAGCCTTAGTTTTCTTTCTCAAAGCTGAACCCAATGGACTGCTGTGGGAAGAAATTATTGTCTCTTGTTCAGTCATGCGCGATGTAAACAACTCCATAGCACAAAAAGATGCAATGGGCACCTAAACAAATAAATGCTCGTGGGGACAGAACACACATACACTCACACACACTCATACACACACACACACATGCACACGCAACACAGTTCCTTGGTGGCATGGAAAAAAATGCCACACATGAAAAAGATGCTACAGTTTGGGTCAAAGACTGAATTTTTAGCAAATTGTTTGGTAATCTACAAGTTCGTTTCTTTGAGACATTACCATTGTTTTTTTTTTTTTGACATTTGTGCAAGAGGCAAGGTGAATGCATACATATTAAAATGTTCACATTTAATGGGAAGACCACACAAAATGGCAGTCTAAGTTGAACCCATTTTCAAGTATTTGCTCACAGACAGATTCTTCTGAGCACTGTATCAGCTCTTTACACTGGTTACAGGTAGCCCCTCAGAGCCACACATCTCTTTAGCTTCAAACAAAAGAAATGGAATGACCAGCACCTTCCTTTGTTTTCAGGCAAGTACACAGAAGCCTTGCTGCAGTAGCTACATATGGCAAGTTCTGATGTTGCCAAAGTTAGGAAGAGTTTCTTTGGCCACTTGGTTCTCTTGAAATACAAGCGAGTCTCTTAAGGTACCCTTACCATATCATCCTCTCAACAACATAGACAGGATAAAGCCACACGAGGAAGGGCAGACTTGAGGCCTAGTAAGTGTATTTGTTCAGTGGTCTGACAGAGGTGGTTTGAGGAACAAATGAAGGCTTTGGTGGCACGTCAGGTTTTAAGGACGGTGTCCTCTTTAGTCCCGTCCGGGGAAGGGTGCCATTACTGGTGTAGCTGCTCTGTCTGGAGAGGGAAGGCTGTAGGTGAACACTCACTGGTGCTCCCTGAATATAGTCCACCTTTGCCCCTGCAGGGGTGGGCATGTACCCTCCACGGTTCATACTAGGCTGTCTAGATAACAAAACACCATTTGGTGAACTTAAGTTTTTAGGCATAGCCGATATAGAGTGCCTCTGGGAGGAATTTTTATGATAACCCCTCTGTCTTTCCAAAGAAGTCATCGGGACTCCAGGAGTGGTGGGAACATCCACTCGCTTGGTTGGGCTATTTCTGGGAAGAGTTGAGGGAGGAGAGTAGAGAGATGCCTCGCGGTTAGGGACCTTGGGTGGGACCTCAGACATAGGTCCCACGGGATCCAGCATTAGGGTCTGGTGGGCCATCTGGATGTCTCCCATGATGGCTTTGGGGTTACTATTTGGGTCATTTAGATGCTTCAGGAGATCATTGAGGGTATTTCTGGAATCCACAGAACGCCGGTGATCTCTTTTACTGGATGACTTTGTAAGAGGGTGGTCAATGTTTTGAAGCTTCTTTTCAGCTTTGTGAGCATTGGAGTTTGAGAAAGAAGTGTTGTAGTCATGGGTAGCATTAGGAAGAACAATGGCACTGGGGATATGCCCATGACTTAGTGGGGAATGTGGTGGAGGACTAGAAGGAAAAAACTGAGGGGTTTCTTTCCTCGAAGCTCCATGGCCATGGGCCTTTTCTGAGTGGCTCTTCATGGCCTGCAGGGTCTTCTGGTGAAGCACGGGTGTAGACTCAGGTGTGGGGAGAGCAGCCAGCTCTGGAGGTTGGCCTCGATGGTCCATGACCATGGATTTGGTATCTCCATTGGGTGGCAGCTCTTTCCGACTGGTCAGCAGATTACTATATAATTTGGGAGAATCAATATTCTGTTGATATTCCTTGACTGGGCTGTCAAAGAGACCATTCAGCTTGGCAAAACTTCCACTGGAGTCTGTGCATGACTGGGCAGATTCTGCATCTTTATGGATCTTTCTGTTTTTCCGAACAAACATGTCACGGTAACAGTAGACTGCCACACCTGCAATGAATGCACCCAAGACAAAAGCTGCAAAGACACAGGTGATGAGGACATTCATGTGGACCATCTGGTTGGACTCTCCAGACTGGACTTCCCATCGTACACCTGCAACAGACACACAGGAAAAGAGTCTGAGTGAGGGGCTTCTTTAAAACAGTATTAGCCAGCAAATGGCTTGCCTTGAATCAACACTACCTTCACATGGTCCATATGCTTATCTTGGAGAGTGAGGTGGACTCCCAAATCACATATTTTTTTCTTTAATCACAATAGGGTCCCCAGAGACACTTACAATTGCTACAAATAAAGGATAACTCTTCCATTGATCTGTATTATGTATTAGTCTTTTCCCTTCCAATCCCTCTTAAATAGTTGTTATATAATATACAAAATTTTAAGCGTTTCTATCTAAAAATTAGGGCTAGAAATGATATATTTTCTAACTGGCCCATTTAAAATTCATAAAATGTTTTTCTTTCTCATGATTTTCTCTTAATTCATAAATCAGGATTAAAGGGCAGCTACTGGGATTAGGGAAATGTATGAATCTGTATATATACACATTTTGCTAAAATAATTATGGTAATACAATTATGCTCTTCTTAATTAGCATGAAACTACATAATTTGTTCACAAACTAAAAGCATCTGCTTAGTCACTGTTAGCTACAAATACAACCTTTCCTGTTTGCTTTTTCTTTCATTCCATCTTGGAGTGAAGCACTCTTGAATTGTCTGCTATGAAAAAAATCCAGACAGTCTAAGGAAGTATACTATGTATTAGAGTTAAATGATATTATCCAATTGTTTTGAGATATTTTAGGAAATATTTAAATTAGACTGGAAGAAGAAGAGTGAATTAGTTTGTAATTATTGGTTTTTTTTTTAATGCAACCACAGACATCTAGATATGTTAGTTTAAGAGGTATCCAAGTCTGTTACATGCTATAAACACAGCTATCCCAGAATAAGGTAAGTCAGAGTGAATTGAAGAGTCTGTTGCTCTAGGTTAGTACTAAGGCCTTCAAACATTAGTTGTTTTTAATCAATGTTGAGGGCACTGGAATTCAGTGGCAATGTGAAAGACAAAGAAAAGTATAAATGGAATCATGAAAGAAAATAAAAGAGGAAGAATGATTATAAAATTGTTTACAATGAAAACATAAAAATCCAAAATCAACAAACGTAAATCATAAATGACAATGCACTGCCATAAAAACTGATTGGAAACCTGATACCACAGTTTAGTAAGCACTAAAGAATAGATTCCCCCCCAACCAGAGTCTTAGATCTAATAAGGTAATTCAACAGGCAGCTATTTGATAACTGCTTCTATTATGGGCCGAAAATGATAGTTCCGGACAAGGGCTCTGTTATGTTTTATTGCTTGTGGTATTCAAACAACTTGGTGCCTGGCATATATCAATACTTCTCAGATCACATTATAAACGGGAGCTAAACAAAAGACTGGGAAAGGCTCCTAAAAAAAACAGCCAGTATCAGGATATTTGCAATTAATGAGTTTTGTTTTGGGATGTTGCCCGGGTGTCCCTCGGCATTTTCTGATATCCAGCAGGGTCCAGCTTCTTCAGACAGAAGCCAACATGGATTAGGTTGTCTGAGTGGCTGTTTAACCAACTCTTTCAGCTTTCTACCTCTGTCGCTGTTAAGGAATGCACTCCACGTAACCACAGAAAACCGGAGTGACCGTGGCCAGTGGAGGCGGTGAAAATAGCAGAAGTGGCTCCGTCTGGGTTCACCTCCATCCACTCCTCAGAGATATTAGGAATCAGGTTTCCACTCAGTGAGAGATGAGTTCCCTGGTGAGGCCTTACCCTTTGGGATACCTGATAAAGGATCAGTAAAATCAGAAGTGTTTGGGTCATCTTGAACTACAAATTTCCGGGAGCTGGTCAGTTTAGGTCTCCAGGTATCAATCACTTTAGGTGTAATTTCTGGGATACTTGCCATTGTGGTAACAGAAGATGAAGATACCTCCATGTCTGTGGTGGCAAACAGATTTTTATTAATGTGGGTAGTGTCAGCCCATTGTTTCTGATTGGGCTGTTGTATTTTCAAGTAAAGTTTAAGCAAATTTTATGAGAAAGCCTGTTCGAGGATTTCATCAAAACACATCTAAGGAGATTACACCAAATCCCTTTCTTTCAAGGGAAAAATAAAAACTAAAAATTAATCATAAAGACTCATTAAGGAGATTTCAAACTTGAAGACACTCAAAATACTCCTACTGAAACCTCTGGGGTGATTAATGACACTCGTGGAAAAGGTAATATGAATCCCAAAGACTGTGATTTCCTCATCTTTTTGTGGGACAGCATCATTTCTTTTTTGCGCATTTTTAAAAAATAATTTTTATTGATGGTTGGAAGCTATATATCTTTCACTGGGGAACCTAGAGTGCAACTTCATCAGAAAGCACCTGGTTGGTTCTGCATAAACACTCGATTTTGGACTTGACAAACAGGCTGTCCTGCTTTCGCACAGACCTCCCACCCATCTGTGATTACTGACTGCACTGAAGGCTTACTGTCTATGGGGAAGCACTGAAGCTTTTCAGAATGCCCAGAGAGTTGTTTTTTTTTTTCCAAAGAGTAAGAAGCAACTCATGCGCAAGAAATGGCATTTATGAGCTGATTAAGGATGTCCTGATACATAGGATCTATCATCCTTTTCTCCCCTCTGAGGAATGAAACTGCTAGTGAATTTTAGAACCAGCAATAGGATCGGGAGTAACTTAACCTCTTAGCGTGTCTATTACTGAGTTCTGCCAAGCAGATTTTCCATCAAAATGGAAGCATATGATTTTAGGCAAAAACTCCGGAGACCCAAATTCAGACTGGTACAACGGTCACAGATAAAGACTCCAGAACAGATGAAGACAAGGCGGGGCGGGGAGGCACAGGGAACCCAGTGAACATCTTAATACATCAGAAACCAGCTTCATTCGATAGGAACCTTTTTCACACCACTGAGATCACAACATTCAAAGGTTCCAGCGATTACCACAAACCATTCCAAAAAAGATCTCTAAAATTTATAAATACACATTTTGGGGAAATGTGTATTTGTATACTAGGTCTTAGGAAAGGTGAGGAGAGAAGGGGGAAATAATGAAGTTCTGCCATCCATTAAAAATAGATGGCCGCAGGGAACATTCACAATGCACAGGGGTGAGAGAAGAAAGCTCAGGTGGACGGGCGTGCAGCTGAAATGCAGCCTATGTTAATCCATTGGATTTTTCTTAAAGGATGTGCCTTGGTCAATGATGGACTGTTAACATGCTATACGAGGTGAAGTGCTGAGTAAGAAAAAGTCTTTGGGACCATCAGGGGGTTATGAGTCAAAGCACAAAAATGAGGGGCTGCCAAACTGCGCAAAAGGAGGGGAGAAGGGGCTGAAAATGCTTAACTGAAGGAAAGAAAAGGTTTGTTAATTCAAAAAAATGAAAAAAAACTAACCAGATGTTGGACCGCCAAATATTTTGTAATCTGGTGTAGTTGAAGTAGGCAAAATTTCTAAAAGAATTAAAGGAACAAGTAATCAGTACGAAGTAACCAAAAGAAAGCAAAAATTTACGAATTCCAGTTAACTCAAAAAGTCAAAAGAAAGGACTATAAATTAAAAAATGAACCTACTGGTTAGACTACCTTTCTCTAGATTTCCTATAGAATTGTAAATGGTGAAGAAAAAAAAAAAAGTAAGATTCTTCTCTAACTTATCCCCATGATCAAACAGCTCAGCTTTTGCGAAGTTCAAGTTAAATGCTAGGTGGCATGTGTCCTCAGTCATTATAAAAGGCTGATTGTAAAATAATGTTCACGTGCAAATGTGGTCCAAAAGAAGCGCCAGGAGGGAAAGGAAGATTCGGTCTTACCATGGCAGTCCCCTAGATGGGCCGTGTTGCCATATTCTGTGTCCTGTTCAAATCCTCCAGCGCTGTGGTTATGGAAAGCAAAGAAGTCTTCAGTTAACAGCCTTCATAGGAACACAAGTGACAACCAGAGCAGAACCAAGAACACAGACAGATTAGTAAGAATGAGCAGAGAGAGAAAAATGGACATTTCAACATAGCTTGCTAAGATGAATATTTGTATTCAACATTTGGTAACTAGAGTGTTTAAGAGAGCAAAAGAGAATTGTTTTCTTTCTCACCATCCATCCCTTTCCCTTAAGTATTATACTGTCTACAATCTCCTTTCCCTGTCATAGCTCCAGATTTTCTTTGTTTTTCCTTCTCCCATACAACAACAACAAGAACAAAACAGAATAAAGGAAAGAAAGAAAAGAAAAAAATCAAAGTAGTGTTATTGGAATTTTTCTAAAATTCCTAGTTTTAGAGTCCCTGGAGAAGACAGAAGCACATCTGGAGGAAGAACTCTGTTAATGTGACAAAGCGTACTTACAGCATCGCTGGGCTCACTCGACCACAGGCCCCTTGGCTTAACCAGCCACAGTATGGGTCTCGAGATGCAATACAAGACCTGTATGCAACCAGACAGAGGTAACCTGAATTTTCTCATTATCAAAGGTCATGATCCTGAAAAACCCAGGGTAAGGAAAGAAACATCAGCTTACTTTTTACATGATCCATAACGCTCACAGCGACTGAGGGGGATGCGGATAACGCAGCTAGAGAACGCCACATATAAAGCATGATGGTCTTTATCCAACTGTAATGAGATGACCTTTCTGTCCTCTTCATTTTCAGCATTGCACCTATATTGTGGGAGACATTTTCAAGACAGATGTTTAGTAAGTCAAGAGCTATAGGAACTATACAAGGCAAGTGAGGTTTGGTTTTTGCAACTACTGAGAGCTGGGGACGTGTTAAGGAATACTCTCAGTAGCAAACTAGGCAAGTATGCAGTTTAGGATGTAATAATTATGTGATTCATCTTCTACTGCTTTGCATGGTTAGTTAAATTTCAGGCTGGACAAAGGGTTTTTTAAAGATTGGCTTCCTGTTCTGATGATAGAGGGGAACTGCATTTGTGAAGAGCAAGTTAGGCTATAGGGAAGAAAAAAGATAATGTTCTAAGGCATTTTAATCTTCCTGTCACAAGAGTGGGACATGATTTAGCGACTGCTGCTGCTGCTAAGTCGCTTCAGTCATCTCCGACTCTGTGCGACCCCATAGACGGCAGCCCACCAGGCTTCCCTGTCCCTGGGATTGTCCAGGCAAGAACACTGGAGTGGGTTGCCATTTCCTTCCCCAATGCTTGAAAGTGAAAAGTTAAAGTGAAGTCGCTCAGTCATCTCCGACTCTTCCTGACCCCATGGACTGCAGCCTACTAGGCTCCTCCATCCATGGGATTTTCCAGGCAAGAGTACTGGAGTGGGTTGCCATTGCCTTCTCCAGATTTAGCTTCTAACCACCCCCATTTCTACCACTGCTAATATAGAGGGCTGAAAGGAACTGACTAGATGAAATAGACACTGGAAGTCCCGAAAAGCGTTCCGGTATAATACACCTACTTTGCATGGTTATATGCTTCAATCTCTTCCAGTAACACGCTGTCATTCAAAGAGAAAGGGCTGGTCTTCGCCAAAACTTTAAGCACCATGCCAGCTTCTGAGCCAACAAAGATGACTGTGTAGTTCTGGTGGGGTCCGGCAGAATGGTCGACGGCGATGGCCGTCAGTCTGTACCTGCCAGAGGAGGTGAATCAGGTTAGAGAGGCGGCCAGCGGGAAGCGGGACTGCTGAATGGGAGCGGGCCTGCGTGTCCACCCAGACCTACCTGATCCGAGTCTTTGTGAACCACGGCTCGTCGGCGATGGGCGGGACGGCCGAGTCCATCAGGGGGTGGGATTTGATGAATGACAGGGTTTCATCCGGGAAATCGATGGAGGTTTTATAAGCTTCGGCAAGACCGTGCTTTGCACAACAGCCCGGCCTGAAAGGAAAATAGTGTGTTTTCCCCGCCTCACAATTTGTATCTAGGGAAAAGGTGTCTATTCTGGAAGAAAACGTCAAGAGAGGAAGGAGAGTGAGCCAAACCCGCTGGGTAACGTTATTTCCACGAACTCTGTGGGCTCCCCACATTCAGGCTCCCGGAGCTTCTATCTGCAGGGCCGCGCAGGGACACCTTCCAGTGACCAGAGGGCTTTGTTAAGGACAGAAATCCTTTCCGTCTTTATTGCTTTCCTACCTTGGCTTTGGTACTTTGTCTTCAGGGACCGCTGTCCAGACGGAATCTGGAGTTTTCTGTTCTTTAAACCGTCCTTTGAATACTTTTTCAATGTCATCCATGCTAAACGCACAGACTGCAGAACCAGGAATGCTGGAAAAGAGGAGCCGCATCAGGGCACAGCAGACCTATTCTGGGTTCCCACAAACGAGGCACAGAGTGCCTTCTGAAGCGCCGGGGGTCGGTTCTCACCTGTTGAGCTGTGTGGTAAACACCCCTACCACCGTGGGAATGCCATTGATTTGTATTATGTCTGTAATGGACTGAAGAACATCAAAGTAGAAAAAGGAATCTCCAGGGACGGAACAGTTAAGCCGAGCCTTCAGAAACGAAGTCCAGTGTTTCTCCAGGACCCGCTGGGAGCCACCCATGTCGTTTTTACATATGCGGGCCACACGGGAATAGACAGCCTGCCCAGGGGACAAAAGCAAGTCAATAGGATCGTGAGCATGGAGGGAGAACGGGAACAAGAAGCTGCCAGATAAGGGAGGGACAAAAAATCATAAAAGATACATGTGGTTCAAAAGACTCCGGCAGCCTTCCCTCTAGGGATCTGTAGAGTAAGAATGTAAACTATATTTACCTGTGAGAAAAACAAAAACGGAGGGCCATATCCTGTTCTACAAGCTCCCTAAGAAGTGAGCCACTGAACTGCCTGGCTGGCTGGCAACCATTCCCATACTGCATTCCCCACTTAGCTTCTCATATTGTTAACGAAACGCACCGTCCTTAAACCTGGCATAGAAGGGGATGCAATACTTTAGAATCTTACCATCTTGGACTGAAGTACTCGACAATGAACAGGGGCCCTTACTTTCCATCCTGCCTTTGACACTAAGAAAGAACAGCTATCAACAGATTTCTAAAGAGTTAAAGAAGCATCCACAGCTCAAGAGTGCCTGCAGCACATTCTCTGTAGTAACAGGAAAAAATAAATATAACCTTCTCAAGGTCCAAGGCTGCTGTTCCCACTCTGGCCATTGTTCAGTTATCTCCCAGCAACTATTCTCTTGCTAAGCAACACAACTCTCTGCACTTGGACCTAAATGCACTAAGTGTTGGAAAGCATGCAAAAACCCTACCAAGGTGGGCTCAGTTCCATGCAATACGAGTGCACAATCACATACTTGCCTTGCCTAAGTTATTATGTTCTACAGCAATTTCTCTGAAGAAGAAATAGACGTAGTTTCCATATTCTATGGCATGCAGGAAATGTGGTTCTGAAAGGAAAAGTGAAAACAAACTGGTTCCTAAAGGGTAGTTCAATTAGCATCATATCCCGACTGCTCGGCATGACTGACAGACATCACACTGCTACTTTCAAGCCAAGAACTTTGATATGCCACTGAGTTTCAGGAGTCCCATTAGGTATGTTGAAGCTTTAGGGAACCCAGAGTCTTTAATGTTAGCTAATGGACTAGAAAAAGCCTACAGGGAACTGAACTACCGCAAAGGTCTTTGTTTCAACAGATTTATTCATTAACCTATTTAGCTAGTAAAGGAAACTTCTTATGTTGAAAATTAAAAATCTTGATTTCTAGACTCCAAAGAACAAAATAACTCTGAAGATATGAACTAACTTTCCCAGGGTTAAACTTTCCAGGATATGTAGAAGGAAGTGGGCAAGGAGTAGTGCATGCATTTAGAGATAGGCAAATGGTACACAGAATGGTGATTTTTTTTTTTTTTTTTGAGGTCACCTAAGATAGAAATCTACTTTCCAGACATAGCTACTGGTCTCCTCATTTCCCACTAATGCAGCCAATCAAGGCAGCTTGTACTGGGCTCTAAATTAACAATATAAAGTCATGCACTGAACTTTCCAATGCCAGGGCTCCTGTTCCCATGTACCCATCCTGCTATTGTGAGATTGGTGATCTCACAGTACTGCTCTTCAAAGATACCTTTGATCCATTTGGAATCATATTTAATCGTACGAAGAGCAGATCCATCACCCATGCTTCGATAAATAACAGCATCACTGGCCAAGAAGTCAGCCACCGTGGCAGAATACAGCTTCCCATCTGAAACCAAGGTTATAATTTCAATAAAAATAGCCACACTTATCATAAGTGTGTTACCTTATGTGTGTGCTAAGTCACTTCAGTTGTGTCCAACTCTTTGTAATCTTATGAACTGCAGCCTGCCAGGCTTCTCTGTCCATGGGATTCTCTAGGCAAGAATACTGGAATGGGTTGCCATGCTCTTCTCAGGGGATCTTCTCAACCCAGGGACCGAATCCACATCTCCTTTGTCTCTTGCATTGGCAGGCTGGTTCTTTACTACCAGTGCCACCTAGGAAGCCCATGTTATCCCACATAGTGTGTTATATCCTTTGGAGTGTTTTCACTGACATCATTGCTATATATACAAATAAATCTAAAACCTGATGTTCATAATCAGCTTGTGACAGGTTGACCTGTATTATCTACATTTATCGATGAGAACTTGGAGCACCGAAAGTTAAGCAACTTATTAAAAAAATGCTTCCCTGGTGGCTCAGATGGTTAAAGAATGTGCTTGCAATGCAGGAGATCCAGACTTGATCCCTGAGTTGGGAAGATTCCCCTGGAAAAGGGAATGGCTCCAGTACTTGTCTGGAGAAATCCACCGACAAAGGGGCCTGGCAGGCTACAGTCCATGGGGTAGCAAAGAGTCAGACATGACCGAGTGACTAACACTTTCACTTTCAGCTTATTCGGGGTCACCAGCCTAACAATAGCACCAAGTGTCAGAATACCTATAATATGCTCACTTATAATTCCTCTTTTTTGAAAAATCTGTTCATAGCTTTTAGTTTTTGAAACACCCATGTCAACGGAGCTATTCTACTTATGAGCTTTTTTCCTTCCTTTAAATTCCTCTTGCACCTTCAATGTCATTAATCATTTATATTCATTACACTAAAGAATCTTACCAGCAAAAAGGGCAACATTAGTTTGTCTGGCATCAAATGGGCATCTTGCCAGGCCACTAATTTCTTCTCCATCATACTCTAAGGTATTCAACTACAAAAGAAAAATAAATAGCTAGTGTCACATCTGTTCAATGTACATGTTTGAAGGCAATACTGCTTTATTTGTACTGAAATTCTATGGGAAGAATTCTGTCTTTATCCTTTCATAGTGTTAGAGATAAAACAAATTACTGGATTTACAGAAGAAAGGATTCAACACTAACACCATACCAGTAGAGGAAGAAGAATTGATTAAAAACAGCACATTGTATAAAATATACTTACCTTATAGTATCTACACATGGGATTAAATGCATTGGTGCCACAAACAAAAACCATCTCATCGTTTCTTGGAACAAATACTTTAATAAAGTTGTGGCATTCATCCTAAAGAAAGTAACAACGACACTACCATTAGACATTCCATATGCCTACATCGTGGGCTAAAGCCACCATACAGACTCAATCTAGTGAGCTTATATTTGTTTTACTTACTTTGTGCTTCCCTTTCATAGCACAGTTTTCTCGATCCTGTTGTCTTGACCGCCATGTCAGTTTCTGTATCAACCAAGCAAAACCAATATTTTAAATATTGAGGGGAGAGGGACATTACCCAAGTTCTGAGGGAATGCAAATAAATTTGCCAACTACAGATGCTCACCTTGTTTGGTATTACTTCTGTTTTAGGGATTTCATTTAAGTTTACTGTATAAACTTGATCTCTGTTGGAAACAAGGCAGTAAGTCATATCATGTGAATACATAAAAATGTTAAGCTGCTTCTTATTTTATTTTTACAGAGCTGCTTTTATTGTGTTTCAGAGATCATTTGGATTTTCTCTGTCTCCAACAAAGTCAACAAAGAGTACTTTTTCATTAGTGAGATACTTTTATATATCACTGTGGTTAGGGAGCGAAGAAAGTCCTTTTCTTCAGGCATGGGTCTAACCACTACTGAGTATTAGCATAGACATACTTTTAATATTTGCTTGAATAATTCCAAGTTAAAAAAAGACTAAAGAAAAAAATTTTTTTCTCCTGCTGCTTTAGGAATAAAGAGTGGTGTCTGATTTCTCGACGGTAGTAATAAAATAGGACTGCTGAAGGCTTTTGCTGTATTTTGTTCCTGGTACACAGTGCTGACTCTTCTCAAGTGAATATTTTTGGCTACTTGCAATTTTTGATCACAATCACATATTAGTTTTTCATGAACTAGACACATTAATGCAAGTACCACAAGAGAAAAGACTTTTAATCTAATAAACCAACGAGAGGAAAATTACCTGCCAGCAATATAAAGTGTGTCTCGAATTTTCAACATCAGCTGAAAGTCCAGCCTGTGCTGTGATTCATTGCCTGAAGGGCGTCCTCTAAAAACTGGATATTGCCTTGAATCTGCAAGTAAAAATGGGCTAAACCATCAGTCAGGATTACAGAGCTGAAGAATCAATATACAGCATTGATTAGCTGTATATACTAGTTGTAGAAGGGTTTTAACTAAATTCTTTTCTTAAGGTCTTGAATATGAATGAATAAGAGACGGTGAATATCACCAAATGGTCTTTTTCTTTTTAACTGAAAACATATAATCTATATATGGGTTGCTTTAGAAAAGTGCCTAACTGAACTGTCCCATTTTCTTCAGACACTAGGAAATGATTATGGATAAATGAGGATGTAAAACATTTTAAAGACATAAAATTCTCTTTCTAAAAATGAATATGCTTAGAAAATCAAAACCCAAAAAACCCTTCCTTCTTAGAAACGCATATTCTTTAGATTACTTACAGTGATAGTCCACAGTATTAAGGGGTTCATCATCTTCAGGAAAGCTGACTGCCCTCAACTGGGAAATCAGGAGCAGCAGCATGTAGGCACAAGGCAGGAAGAACCTCATGGTTGGGCCAGGTGAAGGCAGAGCAGCCCCTCCTCAGAAATCCCACTCAGCTACCTGGAAAACAGAAATCGTTTGGAAAGATCTCTGCTGTGATGAACGAGTTTTGTCATTTGTAATCAGTTCGGTTTTCATCATGAGCTCTCTCCAACGTCCCCCTCCCAACAGAAAGGTGGTGATGGTGGAGGAGATACCTCTGAAAACATAGGCCAAAGGCGGCACTATGCCAAGCCTGATGAAAGCATCTGGTGAGCATACTGAAGTCTTAGGCCCATTTGCAAGAGTTTCTGAGGTAACTACATATGTCATCACAGCAAAATCACCAGAACCACAGACAGAAATGCTGGCTGCTGACTTGGCAAGAAGATGGGCAAAGTTGGGATTAGAATTCTAATTAAATGCCAATCTGCTTCCCTTCCCCCACCCCTGAAATAAATCCAGTACAGCTTGTCTCTGCCCTCCCCACCCCCCAAAAATGCCCAGGCTGCCTCGCGAGTACCCAAGGAGCTGATGTGCCTGTAGCCCCTCTCAGCCCCGTAAGGCGCTGCCAAATTCCCAGCGTTATTCAAGCTACCCCCTGAATTCTCAAGTAGAACAGTTCCCTAAGCTTAGAAAGAACAGCATGAAAGCAATGACATGAATGACCTTGAATCAGGGTGAAAGAGAATGAAAAGAAATGAAATGATTTCACGATCAATCCATCAGGCAAAGCAGGGCAGGGATGACCAGCACAGCTGACACCAGGCCACTGGGGAAGTCTATATTTTTACATGAAAGCATCTGGACACAAACCAATACCCTAAGTATGCCTGTCTTCTTAGCTTTATTAAGCTTTAGAGCCATATGGGGCCTTAGAGACCATCTAGTCCAACCCCCTCATTTTTCAGATAAGAAAACTAAGGCCTGAAAAATTAAGGGACTCACTGAATTTCACGGAACTATTTAGGGCAAGATCGGAGAGTCCAGACTGACATCACCTGATTCTCTATCCAGACGTTTTTCATCAAATTAGATAATGAAATGAAATGACTGGGTTTTTCTCCTTAGAGAATAGAGCACTACAAAAATAATCTTTGGGGGGTAATGAATATACTCATTATCTTTACTGAAGTGGTATTTCACAGGTGTAGGCTTATGCTAAATTTTATCAAGTTGTACATTTATATATGTGCAGTGTATTGCATGTCAGTATATGAACAAAGTTTATAGCATTAATTGTACATTATTATCTGCAACTTTTTGATAAAATTTTTAAATATTATTAATTAAGAAAATAAACTAAGGCCCTGCTGGGACAATGGATATTTTTGTGAAATGGTAAAAGCTCTGCTTCACAACAGTATCACCCCTTCCTTGACCAAAACTGTCACTTACTGCTACTGTTAGTCTCAGTCTTATATACCTAAAAACTTTATCAGGGATCATAAGAATCACTTCAAATTCTTGGGGAGTTCAACCACTCAACTAATGCTTACTATATACCTCTTTCATCATCATCTTCTTTTTTTTTGCTGTGCCACATAGCATGCGGGATCTTAGTTCCCCAACCAGGCATTGAATCCACACCCGAGCTAAAGTCTTAACAACTGGACTGCCAGGGAAATCCCTTTAGTTTTTTTTGTGTCATCTCTTAATATCAAAAATACAAATGCACACACATGCATTCTATGTAACACTTTCAATATTTATCTTTTTAACTGAAGTAGAAGCCATGTATGTATATGCAACATTTGGAATCCTAGCTTTACAAAAGGAGAGAAAAATACTGCAGGACAATTTTTTTCAATGGACAACTAATCCAGTAGTAAGTTAACACATTTAAAATGTCCTGAAAATAGTCTGGTGGAATGGAACCTGCAGCATCATCATCTTGTACTTGAGTTGAAAGACTGTAGAACTTGGTGGTGATGGGATTTGGGCTTGAATGGAACTCCACCACCTACTGGCTTATCAACCTGGGAAAGGTTCTTCCATCTCTCTCAGCAATAGCTTATTTATAAGATGTGGATAATACTACCTTCTCCATTGGGCGAGAAAGAACTAAGTGGCTGACACCTACAGATTCTGAGCAAAGTAAATCCTCCTCTCTCATATCCTATAGGACACCATGCATATGACTGAGTTGACCTTAAGAACATGGGCAGAGTGGAAAAAAGGCATCCTAAAATATTAAAGCTATTTGGTCAACTGTTTTCCCCAAGGTTTAAAATACTAAAGTTGGTTTTAGAATACATTTTACAACTTGAGCCTATTTATCAAACATAGAAAGGAAAGTAAAAAGCAATCACTAATAATCCTACCATCCCAACCCAACAACTATGATGATCTGGTTCCAGTTTTCTTGCCACATGCACAAAATCTTCACAGAAGAGAACCTCTTTCAATCTACTACTTCTCCTTAAGTGGCATCTCCCTGTCTTGCTTTTCCACAGTATTCTGTCAATTTTAAAGACTCTAAAGAAGACATGCTCCAAAATCACTGCAGACAATGATTGTAGCCATGAAATTAAAACATACTTGTTCCTTGGAAGGAAACCTATGACAAACCTAGGCAGAGTATTAAAAAGCAGAGACATCACTTTGTCACAAAGGTCCATATAGGCAAAGCTATGGTTTTTCCAGTAGTCATTTAAGGATGTGCGAGTTGGACCATAGAGGCTGAGCACCCAAGAATTGATGCTTGCGAACTGTGGTGCCAGGGAAGATTCTTCAGAGTCCCAAGGAGATCAAACCCGTCAATCCTAAAGGAAATCAACCCTGAATATTCATTTTAAGGACTGATGCTAAAGCTGAAGCTCCAATACTTTGGCCACCTGATGAGAAAGCTGATTCATTGGAAAAGGCCCTGATGCTGGGAAAGATTGAAGGCAAAAGAAGAGGACAGCAGAGGATGAGATAGTTAGATAGTATCACTGACTCAATGGACAAGAGTTTGAACAAACTATGGGAGACAGTGAAGGACAGGGAAGCCTGGCATGCTGCAGTCCACGGGGTCACAAAGAGTTGGACACAACTGCGCGACTGAACAACAATAACAATATACATTTATATATATATACACGTGTGTGAGCTCAGTCATGTCTGATTCTTTGTGACCCCTTGGACTGTAGCCAGCCAGGGTCCTCTATCCATGGAATTTTCTAGGCAAGAATACTACAGTGGGTTGCCATTTCTGCCTCTGGGAGATCTTTCCAACCCAGGGATCAAATGCACATCTCCTACACCTCCTGCTGCACTGGCAAGCAGATTCTTTACCACTGTGCCACCCGGGACATTGTGTGTGAACATACACAATGGACTATTACTCAGCTATAATACTGAAGCAATGCCATTTGCAGCAAAATAAATAGACCTAGAGATTACATACTAAGTGAAGTAAGCCATAGAGAAAAACAAATATGATATTGCTTATATCGGAATATATAAAAATGATACAAATGAACTTATTTAGAAAATAAAATAGACCCACAGAGAAAACAAACTTACGGTTACCAAAAGGGAATGGAGGGTAGGGATAAGTTAAGAGTTTGGGATTAACATATACACACTAATATATATGAAATAGATAAAATATGTAAGCAAATAAGAACTTACTATATAGCACAGGGAATTATACTTAACATTTTGTAATAACCTATAAGGGATAACAATCTGAAAAGGAATATATATATGTGAGTGTGTGTGTATAACTGAATCACTTTGTTGTATATCTGAAACTAACACAACACTATAAATCAACTATACTCCAAAAAAAAAAAGAGACTCTAGACATATAAAAATATCAAATGTTGCCCTAGGAATTAAGTTCTGCTAGGACATCAGTACCACACTGGATGTTTCTGCTGGTTATCAGATGGAAAAATGAGAAACACTAATCAATCCTAAAGAAACATAGAAACATTTGCCTGAATACAAGATAATTCTGTGAATCTTTGTCCACTGCGACAGGTAACTGAACAGTTCCCATTATGTGGGCAGATCCTCCATGCCCCAGACAGCAAGGCAGGGAGGGGCACTCACCAGGAAGAGTGTCTCTTACAGCCGTGATTCCAGCACTGAGATAAGGATGGAATCACTGCTGACTCACTGGCAAGCACCAAGCTGCTGGCTGAGCCATCACTTCCTATAACTCATTCAACTGACACTGCAGAAAGCAATTTCTCGCTATACCCCGCTCCCCACCAATCTCATCTTCCAAAAATAAAATCCCACTGCTAATTACTTCCTGTCCCTGCATAAAGCTGTATTTAAAAAACTACTTTCAGATTTGCCATAGAAATTATAAATGGAAATATTTAATGTGAAATACATATCAAAGCAAAGATATGTAGGAAGGGAAGAATTTGGAAATACCTGAGAAAAATGGACCAAGAAAGAGATTTGTTTGTATGTAAACCATTTAGACTACTTTGTTCTCATCTTATTTAAGGAAATATTTATTCTCAGGGTTCCAGGGCTAGTAAGAGCATCAAACTAAATATGTGGAATGAAGGCAAGACATGAGGCAGGACGAGATGTTGGTAAAGAACATAGACTTTGAGGTTAGAAAGATCTGAGTTTTATTTTCTTTTTTTAGAGTTATTTACTTGGCTGCGCAGGGTCTTAGTTTCACCATGTGGGATCTTCAGTCTTTGCTGAAGTGTGCAGGATCTTCCAGCTACAGCACATGAACAATTAGTTGTGGCGTGTAGGATTTAGTTTCCTGACCAGGGATCAAACACTGGGCCCTCTGCACTGGAAATGCAGACTCTTAGCCACTGAACCACCAAAGAAGTCCCAGAAAGATCTGAGTTTAAACTTGCTTGTGCCATTTACTTCCTGGCTCTGAGACCTTGTTTAAGGTGTCTTAACCTCTTTAAGTCTCAGTTTCTTCAAGGGTAAACTAGGAATAATTACCTTTACTACCGCACAGCTTCTTCTGAGATAATCTATACAAAACAACTAACACAGAATCTGGCTCATAGTAAATCTTTAGTACATTTTAGTGAATATTATTGTTACAT